CACGTCCGTTGCTGGGTTTTGATGGGCCGGCTGCTCAGCGCTTGCACCGCATGCCACAGTCCGAGAAAGTGAGCAGCAGTGTGCCTCTGTGCCTGTGACCCTGAGGCCTCCAGGGTCCTTCTCCCACTCCGGAGTGCACTCTCGGCGCGAAGACGGCCAAAGTGGCAGCTTCTCTTCGTCTTGGGCTTCCTGCTTCTGGCGATACTGTAGTCGCCGGCGCAGCTTGAGTGATGGCGAACCTGCGCAGACGAGGGTCGTGCAGGTGCGGCACGCCTCGGAGTTTCAGATGTCTCAGGAACAGCTGCCCTTCCACACCGGCAGGATCTATCTCCAGGGCGAGAACACCGGAAAATCTCCTTGGTTCTTGAAGCTGCAGGTGCCAGCGGCTTTGGATGACATGGTCATGAAGGAGAAGTGGGAGCAGCTCGCGAGGTTGGTCAACAATGCAGCAAACATCCCCAAGTTCCAGTCCCGTACAGAGCGTGCCCTGGAGTATCTCTACCCGCCTGCAGCTCCGCTGTTTGCAAAGCTCTGCAGATGCAAGCGTGCAAGGACGATATTGCCACTGGTACGGGAGTTCTGCGAAGCAGAAAGGCTATGGAGACCCATTCGTCAAGCAGGTGGTGAGTTGCACCTGCGGTTCGGATGCAATCGGAAAGCCACGCTGGCATATTTGGATGTCTTCGACTTTGCCAGATCGCCCATGGACTTTGCTCCTGTGAACTTGAGGAAAGAGGCTTGGCTGATTCCGGTCCAAGGGCAGGGCACTTTTGACGAGCCGTACGAGGTGGACATGAGTGATCCGCTGTTGCAGCGACTGGAGCATACAGACCACGGTCCCACGGCGATTCTGTCAGTTCTCTCCACCTTCAACCGCATCGCCCGCCGACTTTTCAAGGTGGGCCCTGCTTTGCATGTGAGCGCCCGATAGCAAGAGCTCCATTGGTTTGTCAGTTTGCGAAGCTGCTGCTGTTTTTCTGGCTTCTCGAAGGATGAGCTGCATAATCTGCAGAAATCCGACGGCGAAGATCCTTTACAGCAGTTGCACGAGAAGGTGGAGCAGTGTGCCTCGCAGTGTGGGCTGCTGGACTGGATTTCTTGTGCTGGTGCTAAGTTTTGATGTGCGTTCGAACACTAAGTAAAACACCGGAATCGCCAGGTTGGGAGGATTTGTGCAAGTTCTGGCGATTTGGCAGAGAGACAAGTTCCGAGGCTCCACTCCGCTGTCTTCCCTGCCACACCTGCCCATGTGACTCGTTGCAAGCTTTTTCAACTCGTCTGACAGATGCTGATGCCAGGCGTCGATACACTTAGCCGTATGGAGGATTCGGTGGCTGCGAGCGTTGTGAGATCCAGCGATCCTCAGGCCTGATGCAAGTGTTCACGCAAGGGCTTGGCAGCACGAACCCCGTGGAAAGGGAACCAACTCTTTCATGGACCTTCCTGTCGGTCCAGAGGCCTGGCTTAGACAACAATGCCTGATACATGTCTTCCTTCCATGAGGTGACACATGGCGAGCGGCCATCTCCTCGGACGCGGCGAGAGCTCCGTTGCTGGGAAGCAGCTTCAAAACCTATCCAGGTCCTGACCTAAACTACGCACCTGTTGCCACGCGGCGATGCGGTGCCGAGGACTCTGCTTGGTCTTTACCGAGTTCTCCCTTCTTGCAAGCTGGGCACACGGTTTTCTCGTTACCAGCTAGCAGCTACCATTAAGTCCGCCTGCTCCCGGGTAGGTGCCAGCGGCAGCGACCTCGTGTCACTGGCGAGCCCTGCAGCGGCCCAGCCGACTTCCAAAGCCGCTGCGCCAAACGACAGCTTAAGCATAGAGAACTCTGAAGGGCAAGCAGGAAAGAGGGTTTTGGAATGTTTTGGGTCCCTGATGGTCTCCTCCGAGGTTCTGACGACGCCGATCGCTCCGGAGGTGCTGCTTCTCCTGATTCGGCTGGTAAGGTCTTGTGCCCATCTCGCCTTGCTGCAGGTGCTGAACGAAGCGTTGAGGAGCTCTGCTTTGGCAGTAGGCTGGGCTCTCGAGGTTACATCGGCCAAAGCATCTAAGTGGGCCTCAGGTGAGGAGTCCTCGAACCCCCTGGTTCCTGACAGCGCCGGCGGCTGGGGTCTGAAAAGGCGCGCCATGGCGCCTTCCTGCTCTCGTGCGCCGTGCGCATCAGAGGGCCTAGCCCCGCAGCGTTTCTGGCCAGGCCTTTGCTTCGATGGGGATACTCCGGTGGAGACACTCAGAAGCCTCCTTTGCGTGAGCTACCTGTAGGCAGATACAGTAGCTTCGTGTACTTCGCACAGGTTCTGAGCAGACTGCTGCTAGAACTTTGGTGTCCCTCGGCGCATTCGGGCACGAAGCCTTTTGACACAGCCTCGCTCACCGGTGTCCCCTTCGCCTATTGGCATTTCCTACAAAGTCTTCGAGTGACAGCTTGGGCAGCAGAAATTCGAACGGGAAGAAAGGATCACAGGTGGGTCCCCAAAGCTTTGGAGGCAGCTGCTGGCTTTGGCCCGGCTTGATGGCATCTCAGGTCTTTGATCTGTTTCCTGGCCTTCGATCTCTTGGCTTTCTGCTTGATCTGTGGGTCCAGCCGGCCGAATTCTTGCACTCCAGAACAGAACATGGCGTTTGTGATGGTCTCGCCAGGATACTATTCAAGACCAGCATGGTGGCTGGCATGGCCGGGCTCCTGGTTCCACGGCGCAGAAGAAGCCAGTGGAGCGTGCAGTTTCATGAGGTCTGGGTGCTGCTGCCCCCTTTGGCACAGCCATTTGCGCCCCGTGGCCCGATCTGGAGATTTCTCCGGCACACACAGCCACAGCTGAAGCTCAGGTTTGTCGTGGGGATTCTGTTCCTGCTAACAGAGGACCTGGACATGAGAGTGAGTTTTCTGGCAAAAGAGCCTGTTTCTTCAGGATCCCGATCTTGGTCGACTTTTTGCCAACCTGGAAATCCTGGGCATATGGAACGCTGCAGTCTCTCTTGTGGCGCCTCATCTCTGGCGGTTCCCTTGTGTGTGTTTCGTTCTGCTTCTCTTTTGTCCCAGGTGCTGATCTGGTTGTTGCTGCTGGACTCCCTGGTGTCCGAGTCTCAGGGTTCTTCAAGGATCCGAGGAATCCTAGAGCGAAGCAGCGTTCCTTACATCTCCAGTCGGATCTTGAACAGTTTTTCGTGGAATGCAAGCTTCATGGCTCTGAAATGCTTTTCATTGGCCGGCATGACCATAACCCAAGGTTTGACATCCTGGCGATGGGCATTGTGAGCTGCGTCAAGGCCTGGTAGATATGTAGGGACCCCTTTGAGAGAAATCCGTCTCCTTCGCCGACGTTTCTTCATCAACGGTCGTGATGCTGTCGTTTCCATCTGCAATCTAGTGCGTCGCGAGAACATCGTGTCGGGACACGTGGCTGGTTGCTTCTCTGTTGCAAACTCGCTTGCTCCGGCATGCTCCGCATCTTTTCGAAGCTCGGCCAACAACTCAGCAAGACATGGGACAAGAAACCAGCCGCGGTGGTGCAAATACGCCTGAAAATCAGTCTTTAAGAGACTCTCTGGTACGGACAACTCCCACTTCCGATTCAGGAGCCGGGAGGTGGTGGGGGACATGTGAAAGGCCCATGTGCCGTGTTGAGAAGGGATGACGAGGGCACTTGTTTTGCAAGCAGGTGCCAAAATGAGCCAATTCTATAGTTTCAGATAAATCAGCTGCGATGTGGAGATGAATGGTTTCAGTTGCAGAACGAAAGACTTCCAGCAAGTTGATGAGCTCGAAGTGCCGTCTTCAGGGCACCCTTTTTGCAACGGCCGCAGCTCAAGTGAGCCAGCTGGAAGCAGACCGGGTGCCAATCTCAGCTCTGTGGCTGCTCTGCGTGCCTTTCCGTGCTAGCCAACCAGTGCTTTGCCACCAATGCTCTGCCATCCACGTTCGTTTCATGAAGATGTCTTATTGTGTCATTTTTGCTTCAGGACTTGAGTTCGATGGACAACCCGCAGAACGAGTTTGTTGAGCGCCTCTCGGTTGGCAAAGGTAAGGAACAGACAAGCCACATCGCGTTGTAGGGGTCGGCTGCATGTGTCCTTGAAGAGGTACAGGAGTGTCATTTAAGCCCCCAAGGCTTGTTTTCCATACGTGACGAAGAAGAGGCCGGGGAAAGCGCATGTTGCCCCTCCCGGGTGGCAGTGATTGCCATCGCAGTTGTCAGGGCCCGCGGCGGTCGCGTGCAGAAGAGGCCAGAAGCTGCGGCTTTGCTCATTTGCACTTGCAAGCTGGACTCGGTTCAAGGTGCGGGGCTCGTCGGCTACAGCGCTGCCAGATCCTCGAACACTCGTCGAGGGAGGCTATGAGATATGGGAGCTGGTCGTGCAGAGTATGAGGTCTTTCAACTTCAGCACCCTTGACGAACTTTCCGCGACTCGAGCTTCTGATAGCCGCCCTTCCAGCCAGTCCATCAGGCCGAGCACGGCAGATGTAGGCGTAGGCCCAGTGTGGGCCCAGTGTGGCCAGTGCATGGCAGTGCTTGCAGGTCACTGCACAGCCCCAGGAGCTTCTCGAAGCCACAGCAGGCCGAGTTCCCGTATTGCTCTGCGGTTACACTGTCGGAAGCCAAAGGTGCAGATGCCATCCCCCTTCTAGACGGTCCTGTTGAGGGTGCTCTACAGCTGCCGCAGCGTGTGTACAGAGTCACCTTCCTCCCACCCGGTTTGCGTGTTGCGCACCGGACAGCGGCTTTGCAGAGCTTGGGCTGGCCGCCTCCCCGCAAACATGCACCAGCTCGATCGCCACCTTCTGACACTGAGCTACTTAGAGTGTTATGGGCTGTAGACAGCTCTTGGCTGGTTCTGATCTTCATCGCAGGATTTGCTCGGTCCAGGACTACAGCTTGGAATGATGCATTGTGATGCTTCCGCATAAACCGTTCCTTCACGCCAGCTAGTTCAAAAAGTTGCAGCACACATTTGAGCGTGTTTAGTTTCGGGGCCCTGGCCATGGCCCGCGGACCATGGGAGCATCCTCATCGGCGGCCGTGTGGGGCATTGACATCTCTCGCTCCACCCCAGTTACTTGCAATCGGTGGTGGGCAGGTTTGGCACTGGGTGGCAAGCTGTACGGACTGCCTTGCAACTCGGAACATCTCTTGATCTTTGATAGCTCCGACAAGTCGGAGCCCCTACGTTTTGTGGATACTCGCCGAATCGCGACAGGTCAGGGTAAGTGGCGCGCTGCAGCGGCCATAGGGGGAAGCCTTTATGGTGTCCCTGACCGTGCAGAGGCTTTGCTGGTGTATAATTTCAGCACCGGCAAAGCATCTGGAGTGGACACTCGCAAGCTGTCGCGTGGACCTCTGAAGTGGCAATCTGCAGTGGTCTTGGCAGGCAAGGTCTACGGAATTCCGCATCATGCTAGCAAGCTTCTGGTCTATGATGTGAAATCGGACACATTGATGGGTGTCGATACAACCCACATCGCGACCGGCAACTCCAAATGGCTCGCTGGACTCAGCCTGGGTGGGAAGGTCCTGGGCGTGCCTTGCAATGCGGATTCCATTCTCATCTACGACCCGTTGACAAAACGCTGCACAGGAGTCCAGACGCAGCCCTTCGCCACAGGGCCTTTCAAGTGGCTCTGTGCTGCAGCAGTGGCAGGGATCATGTATGTCGTGCCTTGCCATGCTGACTGCATTTTGGTTTTCGACCCCGCCACAAATCGCCTGCGTGGTATCGACACCACAGCCGTTGCCACTGGGCCAGGAAAGTGGGTCACGACAGTGGTTTGTGCGGGGAAGATTTACGGCATCCCTGACCACGCGACTGCCGTGCTCGTCTTCGACCTGGCCTCGGAGGTGCTGAAACAACCGACCCTAAACCCGAAAGCCTGGTAGCAAAAGAAACAACCCAAAACAGCTTTACTGTAAAGCCTTTGGTGGTTGCAGTGCACTGCAGTGTCAGCGCAGCCTGTGCCTCGCCAGGAGGTTTCGGGGATTGGCATTGGCCACTTGTCGGATGTGACGCAGGGCAAGTGGCAAGCTGCAGCTGTCATGGGCGGCAAGATCTATGCCATTCCGTACAATGCGATGCTCGGCATTTTCTGTGAGAATTCGCGTTGTCTTCCGTCGAGGAGTGTCGTGTTGAGTTGAGGCAATGCATGCTGGTGGTGGACCCGGCGACAGCATCAGCCACTGTCATCGATGTGACGGGCCTGGATTCTGGCACTGGCAAGTGGGGCTTCGTTGCAGCAATAGGTGCCTTGCTCATGTGAAGGTGATGCGGATTCTTGTAGGGTTCTACCCCAGATCCTGTTCAGGCGGAAAGCTCTGTGGCTTGCCCTGGGATGCCTCCAACATTCTGCTTCATGAACCCAGTGAGGAGGTCAAGGCACGCGCTTGCCAGTGGCCAACAACAATCCAAACTCTTCTGTGATAGGAGATATCACCAAAGGGCCAAACCTGCAAAGAGGAAGCCCCTAAGGAGGACAGCTGGACACGTGCCGCCACGGCTGTGAAACATATCGGGAGCCTCTGCCAACATCAGGACTCTCCGGTGCAAATGGCTGCAGACGTTGAGGAAACGAAATTCAGTGAGACTCCAGACATTTCCCTCGAGCTGGGGGCGAGCCTGGTGCAGGACGTCTCGTGAGAAACAGATCCATTTCCAATCTGCAAGTTGGATGTGCGAGGGTCTGCTCAGGACTTCGTGGCGGCATGGCTGAGTGAATGGATTTATTTCGTAGATGCACTGAAGCCGTCGGCCGTGCCAACACTGAAGAGCCTTGTCCGCATCTTTGCACCTTTGCCTGGCCTCCCGTGGCGTACCCTCTGTGAAGCTCTGAGGGTGGGAGGAGAGCCGGTGAAGTTCCAGGTTGGAAAGACCGGAGAGTTCTGCAAGTCCCCCCTTCGTGACTCGCTGTGAAGAGGTCCTCAGTGTTCTGGACGATCCCATGCAGGGCAGCCCTGCTCGGCTGGCGATCGTCACGGCAGCCCCGCATGCCGGCAATGCTGTTCCTCGGCTCAGCGAGGAGATGTTTCTCCACTACAGCTAGCATCCCAAGTTGCTATTGAGTCGCCAGGTGCTGTACCTCATATTCAAGGGTTCTTCATTCATGAACGACTTCGTGGCAAATGCTTCCGTGGGGCCAGACTACACACCGTTTGATGCCACCTTCGCCGACCGCACCACTTTCATTCACCACGGTGCTCATCATGCGACCTGACCGAATAGTTTAGGATTGAAGACTTGCCTGGATCCCGCACTCTGACCTCGAAACGCTTGTGCAGGCCATTGCACAGCTGCGGGTCCAGCAGTGGTCTGTGCTGCAGGAGCAGCTGGAGCGATGTTCCGGCGAAGGGGTTCCTTGGGGCCATTAGACTGCTGCAGCTAGTGCCACCTCTCTGGACTCACGAGCATTACTCGCACCATCTGGGAATGTAGCAGCACTGAGGTTGGTCAGCTCATCGTCGCTGGTCATTCTCTGGGTGGACAGTATGCAGCTGGCTTCAACCCATACTTTTTGCCGTGAACCGACCCTGGGCTCCTCCCCACACAGTCGCGAGCAGTGCATCCACACGACGAACACTGGCTTGTCACTGCTGGGGGAAACCACAAACTTGAGATCTTGCAGGATGCTGACTCTACCTCTACCATATCCACGCTGAGGGGGGGGGGGGGAGCAATTCCAACAACCGACACAGGGGTTGATGGTCCAGTGACGTCCTTCTCTGGCCGGCCTTTAATCGGGCGCTGTGGACCTAGGCTTTGGCCTTCATGCTTCAGGCCCGCGCGCCGGCCCGTGAAAAGTCAAAGTCTAGCAGTGCCGCTGATCGCGCCAGGTCTTCCTGGACCAGGCCAAAGGCAACCCGGTCCACCCGTTGCTGGAAGAGGAGGGACGGCGGCGCGAGAGTGCTACAGGGTCATTCTTGCTGTCAGAGTTCCGTGTGCGGAGGCCCGTGCGGTTGCCTTTGGTGCCCCCATGTGCTACGGTGCCGCAGAGGCGGGGATCACCGGTCCGGGGTTTTCATTCCTGCTGCAAGATTGATGCAGGGCTTCGACGTGCGCAAGGACACTTGCAGGCCGTTGTAAGAGGAATTCGCGGAAGCCTCCGCGCAAACGCGCAGGACCTGGCGGACTTCATCCAGCAGCGGACGGCGCGGACCCCGAAAAGGGGGGGGGTTTGACAGAAGCCATCTAGCTGATCTAATTCTTTCAAAGAGGTGTGGGTTTGTGGGCTCGGCCTCTGCTTTTGAAGCTCTTTGCCAGCGACTCAGGTGGTCTACGTGAACGCGGGTGACCCGGCCCCCAGGCTCTGGCCGCAACCTCAATGTGGGTGAAGAAAAGTCACAGAGTCTCACAGACTTCCTCTTGTGCTCAGGTCGGAGATGGACTTGCAAGAGTTCATGCGGTGCCGCACCTGCTTTTGGTGCTTCTCATTGCTGCAAAGCCTTTAACTTGAGGTACGCTGTGTCCTGGCTACAGCAGAAGGCATGGGACTGACAACTAAGAGCCTTGATTCGCTCTCAAGCCTAGCTTCCAGGTCTCAAGTTTCTCCATGCGTATTCTCGACTATGCTGCTGGTGGTTTGGCACAGAAAGCGCAGGCGCACCTGCATTTTCCGTCGAGAGACATCGAGAGAAGTGTTCTGCTGCTGTCGAGCTCTGGCCACAGAACTGCGGCAGCTGGCTGGGACCAGCATAGGCATAGGCAGGCGTGTGCCTGCTCACGAAGAGGCGCCATCGACCGGATGGAACACTCGGCACAGCATGTCACGACGGCACAGGGGACCGACGACTCAAGTGGGCATGCACGCGCATGTGTCATGCCCTGCGGGCATGCGCATCGCTCTGGCTCGATCTTCTGCACTAGTCATCTGAGATGGGCGGATGTGTGAGAATGCAAGCATAGAGCACAGGATGCTTGTTGTGCACGATACAGCATCGGGCATAGGGTGATTGTTGTACACTATCAGAGATGTTTCGAGGCGATGGTAGAAGTCTGATCCTGATAGATTTCGAATCGTCGTAGTCGAGCAGCAACACTACGGAGAGATGTAGCGTCTCAACAGACTTGGGTTCGCCACCTTTCCGCATTTTTGCGTTCTGTTAGGGTCGGAATATGTCGGAAAGATGGCGCCGTTGTCCAGGAAGTTCTGTTGCGTCCGGACATCGAAAAGCATTTGTCCACAGCTCAGCTGGTCCCTTCCACATGTGGTAAACTGCGCGGACTCTCGTGCTTGAAGGTTAAGACCGGGTGCCTGCTATGTTCACCTTTCTCAGATTCGTGTCCTTGCAAAGGACCAAGGGCGCTTTTTGAATCCTGAGGCCATACTTTGTGTGCTTTTGGTAGGGTAAACGGCGAGTGCAGGACTTTTTTCTATGGAGGCCATTGAGCTACGCCAGTCTCGTTCTCGGAGTGCTGTCAGGTGAGCGGAGAAGAGGGTGGACAGCACAAGAGACAGACATTCAGAGGCACACGCAGCTTTGCGCGGCTACTTTCACTGTAAGATACGTCTGCAGGAGAGGCTAGGTTTTGCGATAGAGGGGAACAGGCGAGCAACATTTCAAAGCGGCGCGGACGTATGAGGTATGTTTACCTGGTATCCCCCTCATAAGCCTACTTGGCTGCACACGGTGCCAATGGATCATACCAATAATGTATTGGTAAGTATGGTAACCAATACGAGTTCTTGTTGTCTGTGCATAGAGCGATGTGCACGGTAGCATCGGTAAGTTTGAGGGACAAGTAAGTAAACAAACAACCCCCCCCACATATACATACACACACACACACAACCAACACACACACACACATACACACACACACACATACATACATATACACACACACACAACGAGCACAAACAAGCTATCAGAAAAAAACCACAGTGATATTTTCTGTACATTGAACAGTGAGCATCGAAGATCCCAACAATAGCTGGGAACATATCAAATTTATTCTTTTGTTGTTGTTGTAGCCGCCACGGTTCAGACGGCCGCGAGTGTAGTGGAGCTTACGAAGAGGCTGCGGGTTCCCAACTCCCTTTTTAGAGGCTCCAAACAGGCCTTCCTGCACTTACGGAGTGGTCCCGCTTACGTGCCATGTGCTCCAGCTAAAGCCATCGTCTGAACTGCCGGGTCCCAATTCCCGGCCCACGCCCTTTGTCCAAGACAACGCTACGCGTGGGAGGCGGTAGGGTTTCCATCTTCCGCAGGGTGGAGGGAGCTTCTGATGCCTTCAGAAGCGAAAACGCGGCCGGCAATCTTGCCTATGCACTCTCAAAATTATTCTTCTTTGCGCAAACGATCCTACAAAAAAGCCTGTCGCCGCGCCACTGAAGCGCAGCAGCCCGTGGCATACCGAGGACAGCAGCTGACACAACTTCAGGTGCGAAGGTCAGGCAACTGCCCTCCACGTCACTCAGGCCAGCAGCCGCGTCGGCCACCTAGAGCCCGCGCAGGCTTGTCCAATCCTCCAGTGCGAGAGCTGGCAAGGCCAGAGGTCGCACCCTTTAGGCGGGTCTATATCCGCCAGTCTAACGGGTGCACGGCTGGGTGTGAAGCCTGTGCTGCCATACACGAGGGCCGAAGCCGAGCAGGCATCAACCACAGCGAGCACTGTCGCCAGAGGGTCGCCGAAGCTATGAAAGAAACTACCTCTGGGCGGGCAAGGCTGGAAAGGGAAGCCCAGCGCGAAGGCGAGTTCTTCGAGACAGTGCACCAGGCACAAGAAAAGAAAAGGAAGGTGAGCTCGGGCCAGGAGGCGACGCCCACCGAAGAACCACCTGATCAGACCCCTCTTGGGCCCAGCGGCCACAGGGGAACTAGGGGGGTGGTGCAGCTGCTTCGCCTGCCCCCCCATCGGGGCAGAAAAGGAAGAGTGACGGGGACGAGAGCCGTGCTGAGCTAGCACCTCCTGATGGCTGCAGGTTGCCAATCCTGCTTGAGATGGATGAGCTCATTGCCGAAAATCGAGAAGGTTTCATTGCCAGTGTCGAGCACAAGGAGCGTCCTACGTGTGACTTGGAGGACGACTTGTGGGAGGAAAAGTTCTACGACGAGAACTCTGGCAAGGAGCTGCCACCCGAAGGTGTCAAAAGCGCACGCATGGAGGAGATCGAGGTGATCAAGTCCATGGGTGTATGGGAGCCCATCGACAGGCCACCCGGCGAGAAGGTAATCGGGACCAGGTGGGTTGACATCAACAAAGGGGACAGCCTCCA